GGAAAGCAAACACTTTTTTGACAATTCTTTTTGTCGATTTGTTTCATTACCTTCTGTGGTGGCAAGGATGGCTCTGATACTGAGCTAAGGCTAAGCGAAGGGGGCGGAGTCAAGAGCGGTGTGCGCTGGCGTACCAACTCTCTTCACTTTAGAAACCTTTCATCACGACACGTCTTTTCCCCTCATTACGGAACGAGGCTCTGAAAGGACAGTTGAGAGGGACGTAGACATAGTTGTCACTCCGTTGTTAACATTTTAAACAAATTTAGCCTGTTATACGTGTTGTTGCGGTCCCGTCGTGTTTTGGATCTTGCTAAGTTTCTGTTTCTAAAGTTCAGACCTTCGGAGGGGATTCGACACTCCATTATCGGAACGAGAGAAATACTCGAGCACAATGAATAAAAGCCTAAAGCTTAGCAGTAAGTATATCTCGATGGCGCATACAGAGGTACAAGAACTATTGTCTTCAAAAGTATCATACTAGGAATACCCGCCCGCTTTGGCCTGTAGTATTATGTTGCCTCAGTTGCTGCACTATCTTGTCCATTTCGCTTTCGGCTTCTCTAACGTCCTTCTCGATTTGTTTTACCTTCATCCGAGCCGCCCTTATAAGCTCTGCCATCCACCTTATATCTTTCATCAACCCAAACTGATATTTCCATGTTGCCAAATCGGAGGTATATGATTCCGCTTGCACTCTATCCTCCGCAATCCAGTCCCATTGGATTATCCCTTCGAACATACTGTACAAAGATGGTAAATCATAGCCTCCATGATTTATCATTCTAGGCAAGAGCGCATCTCTAGCAGTTTCCGTTCTCCAGACAATCAGTTCAGTGCAGCGACTCTCCCAAACTTGAAAGAACTTCTGCCACTGATGCGAAAGCCTTTGCGTTATGAAGTCCTCTTGCTTGGAACTAGCAAGTGTCCTCCATTCTTTCATAGCTTCACCATCCATCAATCCATGTACGTAGCAATCGCCGACCATTTCATAGCTTTGAGGTCTAACCTTTCCCAGACGAGGCTGGCTTGGCATCCTAAGGACTTCGCGAGTACCAGCGGGTCGGAGAACAAAGGGAGTTCGGCTGCCAAGGAGAATAAATATATGATCATCAACTTTCATTCTCGCAGGCCCGAGTCCGAGACGTCCTTTATTGGTGATGAAGAAAGTCCGTCGAACCGTGGCTGATCGTATGGCCATGTCGGTTTCTGCAAGGATATAACTCAGTGGTATATGAGAAGCATAATCTCCGAGATCACCGAATAATGTCCTCCAAGATGATTGTCTATTCTCTTCTGTAACAGTCAGCTTGGTCGGATCTGCTCCTTGAAGGAACCAAGCCGCGATTGAGCTATGGTCAGCAGTACCGAGTCGTCGAGTGACGGCGCTTTTGGTGTCTGGATCAGGAGGGACAGTATCCGCACACAGCGTTCTTCTAAAAGCTTCTCCTAGTCCATTTGTACTAAGGTTGTTTTCCTTCTTTGTGAAATGCTTGCGTGTTAAGACAGCCCACGAGTGAATGACGGATAAAAGAAGCTCATCCGAGAAAGCAGTCTCGCCTGTAACGACGACCCTGTCTTGGTATAATCCCGACAGCTCAATCACCCCGTCGCTGTGATTTTGCAAGCACACGGCACTACCAGTCGCACTCTTGAAGTTGCTGATAGCTGTCAGGCATATCTCCTCGTTCGGTTTCCGACCACGTTCATCGTCCGGCAGCCAGTCAGCCCAGCCTTCGATCCCTAGGATCCCGTTGAACAAACTCTCATAACCGCCTCCCGTTCGCGACAATACTGCTCTGACATCCAGCCGGTTTCCTTTTTCGTCAGTCAGCAGGTCCAGATATCCACGGATCCCACTCCACTCTTTTGCTCCTTCATCTTGCACGTACACTTCGCACCTGTCTGTGGCATTGTAGTGCTCCATATTGTCAGCTCGACGACGATCCAGGTCGTCGTATGAGGCACTCCAGTCCGGAACCCAGGAAGGAAGATCTTGTCGATCTTTCCGTCCAAGATCTCCGGCAAGCACAGCGAGTGATTTCGTCCCTTGAATGATATCCAGGACCGTTGCTTGAAATACAGTAGATACGTTGAGAGAGTAATTGGGAACAATTGAGGTTTTGTCCCGAGCCAGAGAGAGAAGAGCATACACTTTATCACGATCGTCGCTTGCTTTTCGACCACTGAATCGTCTCAGGAGGGGCAAGAGTGTTGTTTGTTTGCCATCTCTCCAGAGCTCTCGCATACGGTCGATATCCAGGATGATGCGTGCGAAATATGCCAGAACAGTCGAGTACTCGTGCGGAAACGAGAGCGAGGTCGAAGTGGAGCGGTTGCGAGACTCCCAAAGTGCGGCATCCACAAACATTTCCCATGGCGCAGATGCGGAGCCATAGACCATAACGATCTTTTTGGGCACAACCACCTCCTGAATAACCCAAATTCTGTTCCACCAGCGGCTTAGCATCAATTGCCTTAGCCCTTCGAAGAGGTTTCGTTGATACTTAGTATCGACAAACTCTCGAGAGTTTAGATCGAAGGCCGGGAACTGCCTTGAGTCCGATACTTTGGAAAGAAGACGGAGGAGGCAGAAAATGTCAAATGCAAAGTCAAATTTCGAAGTTCCTTTCGAGATCTTGGAAGGCCTCTTCGCTGTACAGCGGTTACGGAAGATTTCAAGAATTTCTCCATCGGTCTCATCGCATTGAAAAGTCGTAGTGGATTCAGAAATTGGTCCATTTGGCCTCATCAAGCCGTGCTGTGGCACTTCTCCGAGGTAGACAATAACTTCTTTAGTAAAAGCAAATATGTCGTGCATGAGATTGACCTGCTCAGTCCTCTCAGAGTTATTCGACTGATTGATACAGAGAGCATCTATCCACAAAATGAGATCCTCGTCAATTCGCCTGAGTCTTCGAAGGGCAGATTCGAGATTGACTGTCACTGCGTGCTGGTACCCGTTGACAAGGATAGGTCGAGTGGCTCTTGGAGAACCCCATGCGTATGACAAGGCCTTGTACGAGGGTCGATTGGCCAAAGATACATGATGCAATTGGCATTGTATCTTATCCGACCATCGGCTTTTGAGAAGCTTGACCAAGCGGATCTCTCTGGGATGAAGGTCGTGGTAGACGTCGCTATGCATGTTGAAGATAGAGGGAAGGGCGGTCTCTGTAGCTTCCTTTAAAAAGGCAGCCATAATGTTGGTTCTGATGAGGATGATACTACCGATGTTAATGGGCCTAATCATGAAGATAAATGCAGAGAGAAATTCGATGCCTAGATATGCGGCTTAGCTGTCAGCCTTGCATTTGCCCTGATGGTGGTTCGCAGGGTAAATGCGAACAATTCCATCATTGGCGGAGACAACCCGAGCATCATGCACGTCCACGTATCAACCTGGGCCCTTGGAGATTCAGAGGTCGATCGAAAAAGAGGGCACAACGCCTGCCAGATTGTCCCTAAGCTGGCTGAACAATTTGAACTTGAGAGTTCTCCAGCACGGCAATTCAAGCATGGAGCAGTGTGCCGCATGACGATATCCCGGCCCAGGTTAGATATTGAAGGCTCTATCTCTTGCTTGTAGCAAATTGAATGCAACAACTTTGGATTTTCTCACTTTTTACAATCTCATCTCCATGCAATTTTCCATTCTTTCAGCTATTGCTATGCCACCAAGAAGCGCCGTGCTCTCTTGCATTGTTGTTCCAGCTGTCCATCGTCAAGCCTCGCTACGGCATGAGGGGGAATGAGTCCAGACAATACGAGGTTTATTTCAACATTCGCACTTTCATACCTAAACAATTGCATTGCATTATCATGATGAGGGAATAGTGTCTCATGATTTGCAACGATATCGTATTCACGCTGGCCTTCGGAGGTCTCTCCTTTGGCACTTCTGGGATGAGTTGAAGTTGACTTCGTGAAATAAAAGCGTTCAAGATTTAGCACACTGTCTAGCATCAACTCAAGTCAGCAAATACTTTCATCGGAATTAAACCCCCAAGTCAAGTTTGTATATTCTCTTCCTCTTTTCCTCCCGGAAACCAAACGTACAACAACTAACAATCGCATAGACCCATCACAACCCACAGCATGCCTCCAAAACCATGACATAAAGTCCTCAACCCCCCTCTCCGTCGCAGCCAGCGCCTCATTCCTCACCTCCGCTCCCCTCGACAACAGCGTCTCCGCTCGCTCCACCTCCGCGGAAGCAAACCCCGCTTCTGCTCCGCTGCCGAAAGTACAGTACAATCATGGTTGAGGATGTCGTTATTGCTCGTGGAGGTTTGCATAAGATATGAGTACTCATTGTCGCTCAGAGCGTTTCGCTTGGAGTAGGTTCAAAATGATAGGCACAGGGTTGTTTGATAAATGAGGTCGAGAAGCAGAAGTCGTCCTTGCTAATGCTACTTGTGGATAGGCAAGCACGACAGGAGTCGCCTGCGTGTATAATCTTGTAGATTTACTTTAGTATCCCTCTTCTCGAGACAGTCTTTCTTTTCTTGAAGTCTCTCGCCTTCTGTCTCTCTTGCTCCTGGAAGTTCGCTGTTCTAGAAGTAGGGAGATGCCAGCAGCGTTTTATCACAGGATTTGACAAAATCGTCCTGGAATCGACTGCATAATTCTCGCTTGTGAGGTTAAGGATTTGGATTCGTAATATCGACGTTTGAATGTTGACCGTCTGTCTGAAGATGGTGTTGAGAGGCGTGTGTTTTTTTGAAGAATCCAATAGTTGAGCATGTTGGTTCGCAAATTCTGGAGAAGTAGTAAGCTATTTTTATTTCAAGAACCTTATAGCCTTAGAAATTCATGCCCTTCGATGTTCATACCTTCTCTACGACTATCATATTCTCACAATAAGCCTGCTCTTCCCAAGTCCTCTCGGCCCGAACTCTCGCTTAACACCACTTTCATCCAAAAAAGGAAGTGCCCACTCCAAACGCGCCTTCCAAACGCTCCCTGTATAGATTTAAGTAGACACTTCCTCTATATAAGCCAACTTGGTCTAGTGGTAAGACGTCTCTCTCACAACTCTAATAAGAATAGAGCAGAGAAGATCGCGAGTTCGATCCTCGCAGTTGGTATCCATCTTTTGCTTTCCTTTCGCTCGCTTCAATTTTTGAAGCTCTTTTTACTCCACCCAAGGGGAATCTAGGCAACCACACTTTTGAATATGATATTCTTAGGGAAATCGGGCTTCATATGTATGGGAAGGATATTGGGTAGTCTTAAACTTCGTTCACTTTGATTCATTACACGTGAATAAAGAACATAAATGCAAACAACAAAACGCCAACACCCGACCATGCCCGACTTCCTTGCCTTGTCGTTTGAGCAAACAAAGCCTCCGCCAACTCCACATCTCACATTACATGCATATACATCATACAGCCAGCCCGGTTCCAATCACGCATTCGCTTGAATAACTCGGAAGCCTCCCGAAACCAACTTCGTGATCTCTTCGTTTTTGTGTTGAAGAAGACTGAGGGCGTATGCCACGTCGTTCCATTGTCTCTCCGTCTCGCATCTTGCGAGTCTTGCGGCGAGTTTGTCTGCGAGTTGCTTGGCGTGTTTGTCCTGATTTGAAAGTTAGACTCAATCACAAATAAGTAGAGATATGGAAAGTGCTTACCTTCTCAATAAAGCCCGCCAAGAACTTGATGATTCTCTTCAACGAATCCTCCTCCAGATCCTTCTCAGCACTCAACAAACTAAACATATCAACAAAGTGATTGTACACCGCATTATCCTTTGTGCTTAGCTCAGTGAAGAACATGCGACTCATATCTGCGATTCTCTTGTCTTCGTCCTCAAGACACTTTGCCATCTCTCCTAGTTGACCCTTGACCTTGACTTGCCCTGCGAGGATTAAGAATGTCAGAGTCATCAAGCAGGTACGTTTCACGCTTGCATCCTTGTCGTTGAGACGGCGGTACAGGAAGTCGGTGTTCTCGTCAATGAGATGGTTGAAGCAGACTGCCATATCACCAAGTGCGATGACAACGTTGGATCGAGTGATCGGATCTTTGGACCGCTCGAGGATGGTGATGAGGAGAGGCAGGTTGGCCTCGCAGTACTCTGAGCTGACACACATGAGCTTGGCCAAGCACAAAGTGGCAGCAGCTTGAAGGTTTCGGTCTCGATATGTCGTATTGTTTGAGCAGATCTCAGATACCAAAGGACCGAAGTTTGCCAGCAAAGAGTTCTCACCATATAAAAGCTCGCGTTCTCGGATATGTGTCATGGCCTCAGTAAAATCATCCTCAGTCGTACCGCCAATCATATCGAGATCATCCGCAGCTTCCTTTGCAGCTTTATCTTTTTCAGTCTCGGGGGCCTTGTTCTTTTCAGCTTCAGCCTTCCTCCTCTTGAAGTCTAGTTCACAAAGCTCGAGATGGACAATCTGCTTGATTGCGACATGGCCGACGATGAACAGAAGCTGTGAGAGAGCAACCGACCCCTTGACCTTCGGTTCTGGTTCTGCTGCCTCCGCTGGCGGTGATGCCAGCTGAGAGGTCTCAGGCTGCTCAGGTTCGGGTGTCTTGGCGACTCTCTGCTGGAAAACATGCTTCGTTTTTCGTCGTAAAATCTCAGAGCAGAGAGTATCTGGATGCTTCGAGAGAGTATAGATCGCACTGATAGCCTGCTCAGCAACACCATACCATTCCTTGTTATCAGACTCGATCTCAATGACCGCAGCCAACTTCGAAAGGACAGCATGATCATTGGGAAGCTTCGAGGTCGGAACACTGGCTTCCTTGGCTTGTCGTCCAGTAGGATTGATTCTTCGAAGTGCAATACAGGTGTACTTTGCCAATTGTAGATCCGACCGACCAAGGCTACCAAGACCAATCCGAAGCATTGTCTCCATCTCGCCAACGACAATCTCGGGTTTGGCAGTTGCAAGCATACCAAGCACAATGATGGCACCTCGTCGTTGACTCTTGGAGATTTCCCTCTTCTGAACACCATAGACCTGCCATAACTTTGACACAACAAGATCAGAGATATGCTTGGCGTTCATCATAGTGCTCAATAACTGCTCCAGAGATGTCAGCTCAGCTGGTGTCGCACCAAACGTCAAGCTGATCATGTTCCTGGCGATGTAGTTTGAGGCGTCATTGGCAGAGTAGGAATCTGGAGCCTCGAAGAAAAGGCGCTTGTAGACATCAATGAGATGGTTTTGAACGCCTTTCCCTTCATCACTGTTGCCTTTGGTCCAGATGAGCCGTAACATTCTTCGAATGCCCAACTTATTTTGCTCAATATTGTAAGCGTCGCCAATCTCGAAGTAGTCCATGGCTTCAATAACTTCGCTCTTGTTCTTGGAACCCAGAAGTTGACAGATGGTGGTAGTTGCGCCGTGCAAGACTTCGATGAACTTTAGTGCCTCAACATAGTATCTCCTTGTCAGGGTCAACTTGTTGATAGCTTCCGAGGTAGCAGCTTCCTCTTGCGCCTTCTTGATTGCCGCTATCTTTTGCTCGTCGGTCATCGGCTTCTGAGGAGAATCGGATTCGATGACAGTCGCCTCATCGAGAAGTTGGGTATCAACAGTCTTGTCGTTACCATCCATTCCTGGTGCGTCTGCTGGAGGCTTCAGTGCGTTGAGTTCCGCATCCACGGCTTCTAGTCGGCTGGTCCATTCCTTCTGCGAAAGTTGAGATCCGTGCATGATACTGAAGGGATGAGTTTTGATGAGCGTTCCGAGGAGCTTGATAGCATTTCGTCGAACATTGCTGCTCTTGTCCTCCAAACTTCGAGCAGCTAGTTCAGCGGCCCTCTGTCTTCGCTTAGGGAACTTTTGCTCCAGCTCGCAAAGTTTGACGTACACCTGGATAGTTCTGCATCGGCAGTAGGGATTGATATCTAAGAATCGCTCTTCCAAAACATCGAAGAATGCATTGAGCTGGGACTTGTGGTTGTCACCACGCTCTTCCTGCTTGCTCAAATCGGCCACCAAATTCCCACAAACTTCGATCAACGCACATCTCAAAGCATAAGACTCGCTGTCTAGCTGTTTTGCAAGCATAGTCATCTGCTTGATAATGAGTCGAGGAGCAAGCTCAGATAGCTTGACAATAAAAGACGAAACAGACTTCGGCCCCTTGGTGTCATTGCTGTTGAATTCCTTGTTGCTCAACTCTGTGATAATTTCACCAGCAAGTTGGGGATAGTCGTATTGTTCTGATAGAATATGTAGAAACTCGGCCATCGGCTCCGCAAGATGCTCGAAATAAGTCAAATTCTGGACAATCGAAATTTGCGCGGCTATTGTCTTGTCAGCCATGATCAGATGAAAACAGCACCAGCCATACCATATCCATGTCCATGGTGCTTCACAGCTATACACAGAACTTTGAATGCGTGCATCCGAATGGCAGTATTCTTGACTCTCTGCTCGCTCTCCAGAACCATGTAGACGGGTCTGGTGAGAAGACTGATGAAGGTATCTCGTTCCGAAGTTGTCAAGAATATCTTCGAGAGCTTCAACTTGAGGACCTTGCACATGATATCGAGAGCTGTCTGCAGCTGTGCAGACGAGTCCCAGTTGCCATCCTTGTCCTTCGAAGCAGTTTTCGACTTGGCAGCCTTCCCTCTACCTCGTGCCGCAGGTGCAGCTGTTGATTTCTCCGCCGCTTTCGTCTCAACTGCTGCTATCGTCCATTGCAACAAGAAACCGAAGACCTCCAGCAGCTGTTTGTGATGCGAGATGAGCTCTTGTTCGTCGCTCTCGAGATCATTATGTATGATATCGGCTTCCGTGGAGAGACCTGAGATGACCAGGTCGAAAATTTTGCTCAAGGCATGTGTAGGGAGGACGGAGGAGGATCTAGAAAGTTTGAAGAGCTCAGAATCTGGTTCTGCTGGATATATAGTAGGGTCTAAGGAAATGGGGGCACACTTTAAGAGGAATTGCAAAGAATCAAAGTTAGAGCTTCTTGTGATCGCATCTGGATTTTCTGCCACTGAGTCGACGATCGGGTTTAGTACGGTGTTTATGAGTGAGTTGGTGAGTGATTCGGGGTCGTTTTCGCAGTCAACAAGATTCGAATCGGCTTCCGGTGTAGCAATCGCGGCGGGATCGCTCATGTAATGTTTAAGAGCATCGTTGATATCAAAATCGATTGAATCCATGGCGGCGATATGGGCGCAGTTTTTGTCGTCGAGTGTCCAGCATCAATAAACTGTTTGTCGTTGTTTGGAGGCCGTCGCAAAGCCTATGTTGACATCGGCCGCTCGTGGAGACCGCGTTGTTTTTATCACGTCCAAAAGCGGGAAAGCCCGATAATGGCTGTTGACACCCCACCGACGTTGTTCTTGTAGACTGTACCTGAAACTAAACAACCAATTGCGAGGCACTCCGAACTCTGGTTTCTTGTGTCTTGTAGGTTCTATTGCTTTGCGACTATAGTTGAAGCTTGAGAGCTTCAGTATGGCAGCAATTCGCCTACGGAACGCGAAGGTACCTTTTGAAATCCACCACGACGAGATGGATCCGGATGAGTCCCTCGAGGAGCAAGAAGATGTGGGCGAATCAAGAGCCGAGTTGGAGGAAGACGATGCGCAGAACTCAGACTTCTCAGACGACAGCGAAGGCGCTGTTGATCCGTCTGTAACGGAGGATATGGAGAAATTCCAAGAAACTTTCAAGGGCATAAGAGACCGCTTTCGACTTATCAATCGCATTGGAGAGGGTATTTCACGTGTCGCCAGTCTGTTTTACTTGCACTAACGCGCTATAGGTACTTTCTCGACAGTGTACAAGGCCGAGGATTTGATGTACGACGTTTATGATAATGATTGGGATATTGAGGAAAAGGAAAATAAATGGACATCGCCACCCTTGAAGAAACGACGGACCGGTATGGACGCATTGGCAGCTATGGACGAATATGCTCAACAAAGACGGCGGCCAAAGTACGTTGCTATTAAGAAGATCTATGTCACGAGCAGCCCTTCACGAATTCTCAACGAATTAGACCTACTTAACGACCTCCGAGGTTTCGACTCAGTATGTCCTCTTATCACGGCTTTCAGACATACAGACCAGGTTGTTGCGGTACTACCTTACTTCAGACAT